ATATATATATATATACATATACATTTATATATATACATATACATACATATATATATATATATATATAAACTGCGCCTTTTATATCTGTGTTATTTTGATGGAATGGCCGATGTTCGATATTTAATTTTAACACTCATATGGGATGATACCGATACCATGCCGATATTGTTGTGCATCCCTACATGTAACCCTAAAGTCCATGCAAAATTCATGAAAATGACACGTCATATCAAACGGGTTACATGTCAAATGTACTGTGGTTGTTTAAAAACATCAGAAACGGAGAAATAACGCAGAGAATTTAATTTTTCTAAACATTTAGGACATTAGTCCCATTACTGTTAATTATGGCTGACCTGTTTTATTTTTTTCTCTTCTTGCTGTCATAAATAGATGCTATTTGTTATAGATTTTTTTTGTTTTGTTTTTTATAGGTGTCTTATAATTTTTATTTTTATTTTAAAGAGACATTATGGTTATGTCTCTAGTTATACATTTCTACACTCACAGTAAATGGTTAAAAAAAACTACACAAAAGCTTGAATTAGAGAAAATTGATATCTGATGGAATGAATGAGAGAGAGCGACTTCATTAGGAACAAGCATGGAGTTATTATGTCAACAGTTAGCACATTTCTTCTGTACTGTTGCTCCAAACGCAAAAACAAACTTCATAAAACGTTTTACTACCGTACTTATCCACGCTCAGTAAACAGAAAGACAGAAACTGTAGTTCTGTCACGAGTCAAACCCACAGTGAAGTGCGTCTACGTCCTACTGAGCAGATCAACACTTTAAACAAAGATCACGGTTGTTTCAGTGTCTGCGAGTCACTAGCCTCGGGGTGTGTTCGTACTTTATGGGTTTTAATGAAACTCTCACAGGATTTATGTTTGTAACTGTTGGAGTCTACCTGATTCAATATGGCAGTAACAGCTAGTCCACCTTAGCCATAAATTTGGTGTGATAGTAGTTGAGAGTCATCCCCAACACTAACTCTGAGCACTAACAGACTGTGTGACATCACAAGCAATAATAGGCCTGTCACAATAAGCAATAAATCAATTAATCACACGATAAATGAAAATTATCGACCTCATTTTCATTTATCGGCTTTATCGTTTCTTCATCTCTTTCTACCGAAGACACTGGACGACAAAAAGCTCAACTCCACTGACCCTCCCTTTCTCTTTTCATTTTAAAATCTGTTTTAACCATCCAAAATCATGTTTTTGGATGGTTAAAAGCAGCTAAGTTGAGAAGCTAAGCTACGAGCTAAGCTAACAAGCGACCTGGGGAAAAAACTTCAGTCTTGTCGAAACTCCAAAATTCACGGTTGCAACCCGTGCCTTTGTGTAAAAAGTTGTTTTTCTCTGCAAAAAGAAGCTGAGAACTTGTTTACTGATTTTTTTTTATTTTTATTAAAAGCTTTGTGTGAAAAAATGTAGGTACTAAAACTTGAATTTGATGCAAGAATGTACTTGGTTTGAACTAGAATAAAATACTGTAAATAACAAAAAGCATAGTCCTTCAGATATCTTAATGTGTTCAGCTGCAGTCTGATGGAAAGCAGCGAATGTGTGAAAGGGGATTAATTCCCCAGTTTCTTTCTTATTTGCCTTAAAAAAATCTTAATTTATCTTATGGTGCAGTTATGAATCGTGTATTGAGGAACAACAAAGAACAGAGGATCGACTCACCTACAATGGCAAGGTTATGTTCAGATCCACAAGAAATCTGTGAAAAAAAGATGGAAACATGCTCAGAATGCATGCTTAAAACTCACACATGCACACATAATTAACACGGTGACATCCAGGAATTGTTTTTGTGGGATTACAAACATGAAAAAGAAAATTTGTTGCAAACAAAACGACTCCTCTAAAAATAAAATCAAATCCCTCTTTAGACAAGCTAACACATAATTGCCGTTAACATCAGATAATTCTGCAAACTAATTAGATGATCTAATTATAGTTCCTCACTCCGAGGTAATGAGCACAAACTACAACCAGTACAAGAACAAATAAACCCATTGTTGGTACAGGAGTTAATGCAACTGCTTACTGGTGTCGGCATTTTTTCTATTTTCTCCACTTGTATTAAAAACAGATGATAATTAATAGGATAAGAGGAATTATGACGTATTGTTGATCCACACTATCTGTTCTAGTTCAGTTTAAAGAACGTTGATGGATTTTAAGCATCAAGTTCTTTGAAAACTGAAAGATGCTCCTCCTGTTGTGGTTACTCGCCTCAGAAACTGTGACAGTTTACTCAATATTTACTTTGAGCTCATACACTATTTGTAAGACTAACATGGGCTCAGAGACTTGTAGTCCACTCCGGTCATTCATCTTGTGTTTTTAATACGACCTCAGGAAACACAAAGTGATCTGGAACAGTGTAAGAATGACCCAGCACTCCCCCCTCGCTCGTCCCTGACATCTACGTGATTGAAAACGACTTTCTTCCAAGCAGCTGCTGTTAAGACCACAGGTTATCTGCTGTAATAATAATTACCCGTACCGGAGAGATCTCTGCCTTCACTTTAAAAGTGGTTCCCTTTCTTTTGCATAAATAATGATATGAGTGCTCTGTGTGCAGGATATGTTGAAGCAAAACATCATGAAGTTTTTTTTTTCTTCCCAGCATCACGTTTCTCCCCCATACTAATAACCTTCAGCCACTGGTTTTATTCTGTGGTTGTTTACTGCCCCCTGCTGGACTCCAGGAGGCATTAAAATTAAACTCGAAGCTGAAACCCACAGCAATAAATGTAAGTAAATATGAACAGCAAAAAGGTCCTTTCATCTGCAGATCTTACCTGTGCTGCTCCATTAAGGACTTTAACCTCTTCAGGGAGGCTGATCTCCTTGGTTTGGTCACCTTCTGCTACAGAACCATCTGCGTGCTGCTCTGTTCTCTGATTGGCTGAGACCCGTCGACCCAGCTGTCCATAATCTCCTCTGCCCCATGTGAAGACTCTGCCACTTTCTACAACAGATTCAGAGCAAGGAGCTGTCCAATAAATAATATTTTAAAAAGGCCAAGCATTCTTTGACAGAGTCCAGATCTCACTGCAACTTTTAGTCTAAGATCACCTTCTCACAAGAAATGCTGGAGTTGTCGGCATTTTGGTCGACGCTTGTGTGTGATGTTTAGCAGTCTCATATGAAACTGCAAGATCTTGAAAGGCGAGTTAGTGCTCGGAGTATGTGCTGAGAATGAATCTCAGCTACTACCACACAAAATTTTAGATTAAGCTATGTAAAATGACAAAGTACAGTTGGCTGATTGATGGATGAGCTGCACGATCTGCGTGGAATTTTTATTTAAAATAATTTAAAATGATTTAGCACCTGTGTGCAGCCCACAGCTGTTGGAGAAGCTTCCTCCTGCAGCTGATCTCAGTGTTGACCTGAGAAGTGGGCGTGGCCGAGAGTGCAGCTGGAGGCAGAGAGCTGAAATCATGACATGCTGTGCTCTTTTAGAGCGTTTAGAGTTTAGAAACATTCTTTAGAATAATGCAAGAGTGTGGGAAGGGTTTAAAACGCATATATATACACACATTAAAATAAACTACTACTTGCTACTTGTACTACTATTCCTACTTTGCGGTTTTTCACTTATCGCAAAGCTTCAGGGTACGGATCCCCCAAGATAAACGAGGGACTACTGTAGAGCAATGTTAGTTTTACATACGGTCAGTTAGTGGGAGTGGTGGCGCAGATGTTACAGAAGGCAAGTCTGTGATCAGAAGGTCGCTGATTCAAATCCCCAAACCAACAACAAAAATGTGGGCCTGTTTCCACCCTCGTTTGCCCCAACCTGGGCCCTTGAGCAAGACTATTAACCCCCCAGTTGCTCCCCATGCACCATAAATGGCAGCCCTCAGCTCACTTGTACAATGGGAACAATGCAGAGAAGTAATTTTCCCATTGGGGATTAATATAGTAATATTTATTTATTTATTTTGAAGCTGTGGCAACTATTTTGGATTGAATATGTACATTCACTGATTTCTTCAGAGAGTTTTATTAAAATAAGTCCAGTAGGCCATGCTACATTATGCTAACAGACAAACATGGTTGACTCAAACAGTTAACGCCAAAGTTTATAACCTAAATATTGCACAACGTGTAGTGCTCAGAGAAGACGTTGGGAATGATGCTCAGCTACAAACACACCAAATTTGAGCTCATTATCTATAAAACTGGCTGAGCTCCAGTCCTTTTTGTGTTTGCTATGGTCAGCTGGCTGTGCAGACAATTTGAACTGGGTTAAGCACCAGTTCTAGGTGTTTGTTCAATCACTACTTTCTAAAGGTTTCATTAAAATCCATCCAATAGTTCATGAGATTTTTTGCTAATACAACAGACACAGGCACATCCACACACACACACAAGCAAAACCAAAATCATCCGCTGCTAAAGTCAAAGGCCGACAACACGTATAATAACTTGTACCTGTTTGAGCAACGATGTGTGTCCAGCCGCTCCAAACATTCACAGCTTTCTCTGTATCAAACAGAAATGGCTTCAGGAGAGTGGGGGAGGGCAGAAAAGGCTCGGCTGTGGTCAGCTGGCTGTGCTTGTTGCTTCCCCACAAGAATAAATCGCCTTCTTCTGCATGAACAGAAACAACATTCCTGTTTATCCAACAGAAGCAGAAAAGTCAGACAGTCTGCACCAAGTTTTCATCAGCTTTTTACAGGATGAACAGTATTAAGTGGAAAACTACTCACAATGAAAATAGTAAAAATATATATATTATTTCAGATCACAGTCTCTCTGGTACATTTTTTTTTCCCTACAAACTTTGCATGGTTTGATCCAACAAAAACATTCATTTTTTTCATAAACTAGTCTTGTTTATGTGAGCGATCATCTGGAATTGTTTGTGATTTATTTGTCTGACCTGTAAGGCACACGCAGTGAGCTGAACCTGCTGTAACCAGGCGCGGTTTTCTCTGGCTGAGACCTACGATGTGGACAGAAAGATCAGTCGCGTCTTTCACTCCGAGTGCAAAAGTCAATAAACCATTCGTTATGTTGTTTTTGTTATTTCTGCTCAGCATACATTACCTGGAACCAAACAAGGAACTTTAGAGCGCAGGTGTGATGGAACAGGGTGTGGGCTGAGTGCTCGTTTAGCGTGACAGAAAAGGCCAGTTCCCCATTGATACACACAGCCTGAGTCTACAAGTTAAACACAAAGAGCTGCGTTAAGACTTTACTCCTAACTGGAGAAGAGTAATGGAGACAAGTAGCGATGCTAGCTTACCACTAACTGCGAGAGAGTGTCGAAGTCCTGCTGCAACGCTCACTACTGGTTCCTTCAGACCCTGAAAACAAACTCAAAGTGTAGTTTAAGTTTGGTGCAGGCAGAATGTGCAGCATGTGTGAAACTCTGAAGACCCTGACTTCATAAAGGATTAACTATTATTATGGGCTCACCTCGACAACCAGAAGATCAGCAGTTTGCTTGGTTGTTTCTCCAACACCCAACTGTCCAAACGCATTCGAGCCACAAGCCAATATTTGACGATAATCTGTCAATAAAACAAAACGTGTGTAAATAAAAAGGATGAAATAAGACAAACTTTTGCTTCAACTGTTGTGATATTTCTTCTTAATTCTCGTTTTGTTCCTACAACAAAGTCTAAAGGCCTTATACGTTCTTTATGGTTTTATATTTGGGCTGAACAATTAATTGCATTTGGGATAATATTGTGATATGATAAAACGAGATTTTCTCATCGTAAAGGCTGCGATTTGACTGTTCGCGTGATCTGGTCACGTGATCTGGTCACGTGACTTGCGAGCGAGCGGATTGGAACAAAGCAGAGCAGGGAGCAGAAGTCAACACTACGTTTTAACCAGTTGCACGATGGCATCAGGCTCGACAGAAGCTGACACAGCTGAAAGTTTGGTCCCAAAGAGGAGCAGCACGTCCGTTGTTTGAATTATTTTGGCTATAAAAAAGAAGACGCAGCACAACAACATGTATTGTGCAGAACCTGCCTTGCTGCTGTTGATACCTCGTGAGGTAACACCACAAATCTTTATCAACACTTGAAAAAAACCACCACAAACCCATTTACGATAGTTGCATGGCTAGAATACCATCGACCAGTGCTTCAACTTCAAGTCAGCAAAGTAGCAGCTGACAGGGATCACTGACCGAACTGTTCCAAGGTTTTACTCCGTATGAACATAATTTGAAAGTGCACGCAGAAATAACTCAAGCATTAACGGAGTTCATAAAGAAAGACATGATGTCCATTAATATAGTGACCAAGCCTGGGTTTACTGCGTTGGTAAACACGATGGATAAGCGGTACAGAATGCCCTCGCACATTAACCAAGATGCTACCCCGGAGCTATACAAAATAAATGCAGAAACAGAGTTGCAGCGGAGCTGAAAACAGGAGCTTTTTGCAACTGAAACAGATTTATTGCTTGTGTTCGTTGAAAAATAGATGAGAAGAAGACATTGAAAAATAATCACATATTAAATCACAATCTCAATATTGCGGTAAAAAAAAAAATCTCAATTAGAATATTTTCCAAACTCGTTCAGCCCTATTTTATATCAGCTTGGTTTACTGAAGGTTTCCATTTAAGACATGAAAGAGATCATGCTAGTTTTTAAAATAAAAATAAACTGTCATCCCATTCAACAAATAATGAAAGGAATAACTTCCTCAATCCTTATAATCAGTGCTTTTCTCAAGTATGTCCCAAAATCTGTTAAATAATAATAATAATAATAATAATAATAATAAAATTATTCCTTTAAAATAAGTAAGTGAACAGCCTTTAGGATGTCTTAAGGAGTAATGTGTGAGAAATTATCAGTTAAAGTGGTGTAAAGGGTTAAATACAAAAGAAACAGGTTACATATATCTAATCTGTTAGTTTCAAGTTTGCTTGTTTCTTTATTTAATATAAATTAGGCAGGATTTGATACGATGCTAAGTGCTCACCAGTGAGAAAAAGAGTAAAATCCCAACCGCAGGATACATGTGTGACTCTCTGATTCAAGATGGGACAGAGCTGAAGAGTAGAGACGTCAGTGATGTGGCCCAGACCCAGCTGGCCTCTGCCATTTTGTCCACAGACAAACACCTCCCCACCCTCTGTCCAACACAAAAAGAGACAGCAAACATTAAGAATCCATTTAGCACAATGTTGAATAATGATCTAAAATTAAAAGAGCAAGCAAAAAATGATAACTCCCAAAAATCTACTTTGCTTCTACCGTGTAAACATTTCACTCAAAGATTAAAAAGAGCGAGTGCTTTAACCTGCTCTCTCACCTCTAACAACAAAATGTACAAACAGTTTCTCTTTTTCCTACAGTTTGCTGCTCTGATATATTCATTTTTCAATTCAGTTTATTTATATAGCACCAAATCACAACAAAGTTGTCTCAGGGCACTTTACAAGAACCTTCACATACATAGAAAATCCAATTAGTAAAGTTCTCTATCTAATGAAGCCAGCAGACTTGTTGAATCTTCACTTCATCACAGTCTCCCATCCTGAGCGAGCACAAAGGAGACAGTGGGAAGGAAAAACTCCCTTTTAACAGGAAGAAACCTCCAGCAGAACCAGGCTCAGGATGAGCGGCCATCTGCTTCGACCGGCTGGGTTTGAGAGGACAGGAATGAAAAACGAACACAGAATGGTAGGTCCAGGTGAACCTGAAAGACAAAGACGCATGTTAGGATAGAAAAAATAATTACAAATACAAAACAGGTTGAGCAGAGTAAGTAAAGACGGTAGTATAGTGAATGTGGTCAGTTTGTCCTCCAGCAGTCTAAGCCTATAGCAGCATAACTAATGGATAGCTCAGGAAACCCAAGCCGACCCTAACTATAGGATTTAGCAAAAGGAAAGTCTTAAGTCTAATGTGTCAGCCTCACAGACAGAAACTGGAAGTTGAAATATATCTAAGTTTTATATATAAAAAAAAAATACAGTGATTATTACACATGAGTAATTGCTGTCTAAATAATGTTGTTCTTTATTAATCATGAACAAAATAATCTGTGTTGGTCGTTTAGCACAGAAAAAGAACAACTGTAACTACAGTTCAGTGTAGTAATGGGGCAGTTACCGGTGATGACCACAGAGTGTCCCCCTCCGCCGCTCACTGTCCGGACTGCTCCGCTCCGCAGCGCTGACAGCTGGGGGACACTCGTGTCCTCCGCATGTCCCTGTCCCAGCTGTCCGTAGCTGTTGGCTCCCTGACACAAACGATAAAGTGGCCGTCTTGTCACAAAGGTAATCGCCGACTGTTAAAGCCAAAGCTTTAGCCACACATTACCATGTGCTGCGCTTTACGTTTGAGCTAGTTTGGCTAACTTTAGCAAAAACACAAACTGTCGTACTAACGTTCCACTTTACAGAAGGTGCCGAGTTGACATGATAAATGTACAACACATGACACACATGAATTATACAATTTAGCCCCAGAAAATGATAAACGTACCCAGGTGTATAAACAAAACTCGAGCTGTGAGTGTGTTGCCATGGAAAACCAAGCGCCGGAAATTAGAACGATTTACGACAATGTCGTAAAGAAGGCTGCTGTTAATGCGAGGCTGACTCGTTCATGTTCCCCAAGGAAATTTAAAACCAAAACAAAGTAAAATAAATTAAAAAAACTGGAATTTGTTCCCTTTTTTAATAATTTCAAAATCCAAACATTTAATTACAGATCATTACGAAATCACGATAAATAACGAATTGTTTGAATGTTCAAATCAGATTGTTTTTTACAGGCTATGATCCAAATCCCCCCCCCCCCCCCCCAAAAAAAGAGCTTTTAAAAAACATATTTATCGATTACTATTTTTTATCATTGTATCATTAAATGGAAATTTAGGAGGAAAAGACATAAGTTCATTTAAATATCAAGAAATAAACGCTTCTTTTGGACAACAATCATTCCATTCAGCTGTATGTATATATATATATATATATAT